AGAGGGAATATAAAAGTATTCATGCCTAAAACATATGTTCCCTATAACTTTATAATAGTTTTGTTTATGATATTGAATTTGCCAATGAATTGCTCAATATTAAATTCACAGATTTCAGTTCACTTTTATATCCCTCCTTTTAGATATTACCAGTATACACTATGTACTGTTGGGAAACACCCAGTCAGATAGGGAGGAGGACTCAAGTGGGGAATTAGCCTTAAATCATTGTGCAGCTGCAAGAAATCAGGACTGACACACACACACACACACACACACAAACACACCCGGTTCCATGGAACCTTATCTATATCTTCTCAAAGGAAGGCAAGCAGTCTGGTGAGATTCCTATATTATAGTTAGAATACAATAAAATAGTTATCTTGAACTCTGCATGTATGGATTTGACTGCTTCTAACAGTATTTATTTGTCAAATTTAGCTACTGCCCATCCCACTCTCAGAGTGGTCCCGGATGTACAGTTAAAAGAATAAAAACATAAAAACTATATAAAAAGCATGCCTAATGGTAAAAGGAGCCAAGTGGAAACAAAATTAAATTAATTTTTGCATGTAAGTTGCATGTAATTCAATTGAAAGTAATCAAAAAAGCAAGGCTCATTGCAAAGGCATTTACATACATTTTCATGAAAGTTCTTTTGTCCAGCACATTACGGATGGCTTGATAAAAGAATTTTGATTCAACTCTATATCAAATCAAAGCTTTGCAGTGTTTTATCAATGCATATTTGTTTGGGGGATGGAAGGAACTGAAACAAATTATAAAATTTAATTTTTTTTAAATTGGGACAAAAGATTATTATTAATGGCACCAGTTCAGTCTTAGAAACAAGATAAGAGGCTTATTTATACATTAAAATATTAGGTATAAAGTGGACAATCTGTACAAGATCACACATGTACTTCTTTCATCTCTTCCTTGAGTGAGAAGATCTGGAGGGGAAATGTGTACAATAACAGATTGCAAATATATTAAACTTTACTAAAGTAGGATGAGTTCATGCAATAGACTTCTACACTCAGTGCAAAATGGACCAAATAGGAGAAGGATAAGAACTAGAAAAACTGGACACAAGTGAGCATGAAAGTCTCTTCCGCATGCTTGCCCATTTATGTTCTTAATTGAACAAAGATAGGGTGATTCAGAATGACAAAATATGGCAAGAAAGGCACATGAAGATTTTGGAAGGATCACTGCCCTGCCTTTAATGATGACCTCTAAGTGATTTGTTTTGTTTTGTTTTGTTTTGTTTTGTGGGATGTTCTAAGAGATGACCTTAGGTTCTTCCCACTTTCCCTTTGGTCCCACTTTAGAGTAAATGCAGTTTAATATTTAGTCACAAAACTGTACTTAGCCAGTAATACTGGCTGTACTCTAGAAAGTGTACAGAGAAGTCTAGTTTAATGAAGAGAAAGATGAGGGATGACATGATAGCATTGTTCCAATATCTCAGGGGTTGCCACAAAGAAGAGGGAGTCAAGCTATTCTCCAAAGCACCTGAAGGCAGGACAAGAAGCAATGGATGGAAACTAACCAAAGAGAGAAGCAACCTAGAACTAAGGAGAAACTTCCTGACTGTTAGAACAATTAATCAGTGAAACAACCTGCCTCCAGAAGCTGTGAATGCTCCAACACTGGAAGTTTTTAAGAAGAGACTGGACAGCCATTTGTCTGAAATAGTATAGGGTTTCCCGCCTGAACAGGGGATTGGACTAGATGACCTCCAAGGTCCCTTCCAACTCTATTATTACTATCAATCATCGCACAGTCAGCCAGATGTTCAGACTGGATTTGGCATTTTGTCTACCTATCGAGTCCTTACCCAGGCTATTATTATTATTATTATTATTATTATTATTATTATTATTATTATTATTATTATTCTGTTCATTGGAACAAATTGTTGCTTGGAGCTGATTTAATTTTCAGGCACCCTGTTGTTTTTTTAAAATGCAGTTTGGGCAGATATGAATGACATGGTTGCTCTAAAACAGAAGCTAAAGCTTCTAAATTGTTCAGTGAAACTCTGTCAATCCATCAAGGGCAGGAGAAGCCAATGTTCACAGATGCTTATTCTCATAAAACTAAACAAAGCTTTAAGATGCTATATATGAACACATCCACTATCCTGGATCTTTTAAATCTTTAAACCTCACACTGAGAGGTGAAATCATTCTTGCTGGGCTTAGAATAGCCAATTTTAGTATTCAGAACATCTGATATAAATAAGAGGAGCATTTCATGAAAAAGAAGAAAAGAAATTGGAAGATGGAAAACAGAGGTTGTTGTGAATGTCAAACATCTCCCTTTGCAGTGCTGAAACTTACTTCTAGTGATGTTTGGCATATATGGAACAGTAAAGCTGCTAAAAGAATAACTTGTTCCTCTCTAATGGCATATTTAGTTCGTCTTGAGTAATAAGGAATGCAATGAAATGCAACATTGAGCAAAATATTGAACTAGAGATATTGGGAAAGGTTTACACAAATGGAAAAGGGACAATAGCTGTATATCCTGTTACATTTCACTGTAATTAATCCCAAATTGCTATTATCTTGTGTAAGATGGGTGGGTGGGCTAAAGTCCAAGGAGCAAAAGGAACAGAGCAAAGATGAGGGAAAAACAAGTAGCAAAGTGAACAAAGGCAATTTGGCATTGATTCAGAAAAGCCAAATCTCTATCCCCACTTCCAAATGCTTGCAGTACAATCATTTATTAGTGTATAACTTATAGTAGTGCTCTCTGTTCTGGCAGCTTGAACACCATTTTAATAGCAGAATCCATTCAAACACCTGCAGTCTTTTGTTTTTGTTTGGAAAGTTGTAGAGAAACTAAATATGCTATACGATATGTTGATTCAAAGTCAGTATGTATTTATGTACCAGTATGTACTGGAGGTTTTTAAGAAGAGACTGGGAGTCATTTGTCTGAAATAGTATAGGGTTTCCTGCCTGAGCAGGGAGTTGGACTAGATGACCTGCAAAGTCCCTTCCAACTTTATTATTATTATTATTATTATTATTATTATTATTATTATTATTATTATTATTATTGCTACTACTACTACTACTACTACTACTACTACTACTACTACTACTACTACTACCCTGGGGTATCATATTAGCAGAATACAATAGGCTCTGGGTGTGGCTAATTAGAGAGGGAATAGTCTCTCTTAACAGGGGTTTACTTAGTTCATAGCAGCCCCTATTGGGATCTAAAGGGTAAATTAAACTGGGCTATTATCAGGTTGGCAGCTGAGGGATGAAGAGCAAATCTCAGATCAGGCAAAATTTTAGCTTTTTCTTTATGCATCAAACACATTCACATTTTAAAAAGTAAATGTTGACATACAGAGAAAACTAAATTGGTTCATGTTGGCATGTGACCTGTTTGTACAGCTATGAAGCTCCAACACCCTAGTAAGTCTCATTATAGACACTTATTCTGAGTCTTCCTTGAAATCCTTCTTTTTCTAGTGCTCAGCTATCATTTTAATTTCCCCCAATGGTTCTGATATAGTACAGTTACAGGGCCCTTTGGGAAATTGGTTTAAGAAACAACCATCTCTGCAGTTCAAAAGTTGTGAGTGCTCCATTCCTGGAGGCTTTTAAGAAGAGACTGGACAGCCATGGGTCTGGAGTGGTATAGGGTCTCCTACTTGGGCAGGGGGTTGGACTAGAAGACTGCCAAGGTCCCTTACAACTCTGTTATTCTGTTATTCATATCCATTAGAATAGAGTTACAGTTGAGTAGGTCATCAGAAGGCTTTGCTAATGGTCCTCTTGAATCGAATCAGCCCAGGGCATAGTTAGGACTGATGATGCTTTTGGAGCAGGCTACAATATAAAATAAATACCCCCCCCCAGATCTACCCATTTGGCTGCTACAAGTTCTGATCATTTAGTCGATTGTGAAGTCATCCATTACCAGGTCTCCTAACCTTTTAGGACACGGGTGTCAAACTCGCGTCGTCATGTGACATGTTGCGACATATCACAACTTTTTTCCCATTGCCAGCAATGGGGTGGGTGCGGTTTTGGCGTGACGCATCCGGCCCGTGAGCTGGCAGTTTGACACTCCTGTTCTAGGATGTTTATTCTTGCCTCAGTTTATCTTTACCCTTTGTTTTAGTGGACAGGCAAGCATATTTCCAAACAAAACTGTGATCTGCAACTGTTCACATTTTAAATTATTTGTTTCAAAAAATAATGTCCAAGAGTCTACATATGGCCAAAGGTATTGTCGGAGCTTCAGATTATGTTTGAGGATGATACATTGCTTTATATTATGCTGGTCACTTTCTATTTGTTTCAATTAAAGTAATTTTTGATATAAAAATAAAATAACCTGGCAGGTACCAAGGACATTGTCCATGGAGAGACTACTACCCAGTTGTGAGTCCAGGAGCTACTTGATAATACTCACACATAAAATTGAATAGAACATTTAGCCCTCTCTCTCCTAATAAGTCACCCCTATAGTAAAGCAAAACTCAGCAGCACTTTTTCGTGCGACTGCTGATAAAAACAGGATCGCCAACATGATCGCTAACATCTGATAATGGATATGGCACGGTTTGAAGAAAAACATAATGAATCCCTATAAAGGCCTGACATTTCTACATAGGTCTTGCATTAACACTTTACTAGAGTTCCCTCCTTGCCCTCAAGCAGTTAAATGATATGGCCTCCAGAAGACCCTTTGCTGAGGGTTTTGTCAAATTAAAGTCAGTGCTGGCTAGATAGAATCATCAAGCTGGAAGGGGACAGTTAGATGATCAAATCCAACCGTGCTCTGTGCAAATTACAGCACCCTCAACAGATGTTCATCCAGCTTCCATTTGATTATATCCAGCAAAAGGGAGTTCACTTCCTCAGATGTGTAAATGGCATGGTAACATGCAACTCTATCTTTTTATTGCATTATTAGATTTTAAGATTTGATAACAGCTTTCAAAATGTCTTCTTGAATCCTACCGTTAGGTAATCTCTGGCAGAAAATATGTGTTGCTTGAAGGCTACAAGAGTTTAATGGAAGGAGTTTAAATGCTGGACAAGCCACAGCTGTGTTCCAGCACCAGAGCTGGCGTGAACAAATATCTCCAGCTGTTCCCCTGAACTTCAACCTGGGGGGCAAGGAACATAAAAATAGGATTATTTTTTTGGTTCCACATCCTTAGCTTTACTACATCAATATGCTGCAGATTGCCAAAGACAGTTATGCCTTTTTAGTAACCCTGAGTAATATGAGGGATTTTTATTTACAGCTTAGTGCCAAATGTTTGTAATTCATTTGGATATTTTAGTTTTATGTGACAAAATCAACAGAACTGAATCCTCCTATTTAAGTCTTCAAGCCAGTTTGGGATGGTGGTTTGTTTTTTTTTTTGTTTTTTTTGAGGACTTAACAGCCCCAGAGAATGAAGGCAACTACAGTAACGAAGTCAGCAAAACAAAACAGAGAAATAAAGAAGAAATAGCATTAGCTTTATGTATTAAAACACGGTTTCCTTGATCCTAGTTTGTTCAAGGCAAAATAGCTGGGTTCACATAAGATGATCAGTTAAAGTTAACCAAGCCATATTTGATTTTGTTCCTCATTTAATACAGCCATTTTTGTTCACAATTGGAAGAAACGTTTGTGTGAATTTAATGCCCTCATTAACAGAACAAAATTATACATTATAGAGAAATTGCTGCAGGAAGCTAATATTCACATATTTATGAATTGCTTGCTGAAGTGTGGATGGCCCCATTTTTTATCCTTTTCCTAACCAATAAAGATATGCTTATTTTAGCACAGGTTGGCTCAGAAATGTAGCACTAAATTAACATGGTAACACGGTACTGAGGATTCAACATTTAACACCAGAATGATTTTACTAATCAAAGATTGTATCCAGCAGGTCTGGGCAGGAGTTCAGATTTGATAAATAGAAAATGATTTGGCAGGTGCAGAAGGACAAACGTAGCACCTCCTGCAACCTCATAAAGCATCTGTGCCTTTGCCCAACATTGTGGGGCAGACAGCTGGGCACAGTGGGTGATACTAGAATCACTGCTGTGTTAAAGTGTTACAGGCAACAGTTACATTTACCCTCCTGCAGGGATATTTACAAGATTGCAATGCATATAGATAGTACTCAACTTACAACCGTTTGTTTAATGATTGTTTGAAATTACAATGGCACTGAAAAAGTGATTTACAACTATTCCTCGCACTTATGACTCTTGCAGCATTCCCAGTCAGATGACTGAAATTTGGCTGCTGGCAACTGGCATGCATTTACAATGGTTGCAAGCATCCTAGGGTCATGTAATTGCCATTTGTGGCTTTCCTAGCCAGTTTCTGACAAGCAAAGTCAATGGGGGAAGCTGGATTCATTTAATAATTGCAGGATTCATTTAGCAACTGCATGCTTAAAAACCATGGCAAAAAAGGTCATAAAATTGTGCATAACTCACTTATCAACCCCCTTGATTAGTACTGGAAATTATGGACCCAATTGTGGTTGTAAATCAAGAGCTACCTGAACAAAAATGGGCAGAGCTTTGACTTTTGTAGCTACCACTTTGGCTTTTTAAAAATACATACTTTGCAACACCCCTGTACACTTGTGTGCTAGAAACCTCCTTTGAAAATCAAATAAAAAGTCCTTCCCAGCCCTTGTTTCCAAAATCATTAGAGCTGCCTTTTTTGGGGGGTGGGGGGTGGGGGGACAAAGTTTCATTACCTGTTGGCCAGTCATTCTATGAAGGAACCATACAATCATTGCTGAAGCTAACTCACTTGGATAAACACTTCTTTAAAGGGCTTTGCACAAGTCTAGCCTTAACCTCTTTTCAAAACCTGGCAATTCTATGGGCATACAGCCTGTAAGTGTGGCATGTGCTCCTAGACTGTCCTATACATTTTGTCGTTCACATCAGTTAATTATTATTAATTATTATTTCCACCTGGAAAAAGCCTCTTCCAAATTAACATGGAGTAATATGATACCCGAAAAGCATGATTCAGCTGCCTGAAATCAGTATATGACCTAGGAGCCTTTTTGCCAACTTTCACTTGGCCAAAGTTACCTCTAAGTTTTGAGTGCCCCACTTCTTTAGGGCAATCTGTATTCCTCCTCTACAAAATTGGGAAAGAGGGAAAGATAAGGGATGCTGCTGATGACAACCTTGAAGTCAGGCTGAGATGGCCAAGAAGGTACAGAAAACTCTGGACTCTTTCCTAGAGTTAGCAGGAAGTTAACAATGCCATCCTTGAAATTTCCTCAGAAATAAAGTAAGAATTTCCATAGGCAGCTTCTGCAACCAGTGTTATAGTCTTCCAGATTGCAGAACCTCTACTGGTAACTGTGAAACCGCAATCATGACATCACATTTGCCTGCAGAGATTTCTCAATCTGGGACTGGTATCTAGTCTGAGAGATGTTTTTATAACGTATTCATTGTAAGCCAAATAAACTGACTTCTCTCGGCATCTCAGTGTTCTTCATTTACCCAAGGAATTATATTTCAATTTTCAAAAACAATATATACAATACTGAAACTCCTAAGCTGGGAGGAAGGATCAGTAGCTTCAGTTCTACTCTACCAATACATATTCATCAAATGCAGGAGAGATTTTCTACAGGTGCACTTTCTCTGTGCAAATGTCTAAGTGACCCCTACTATCAGTTGAATGTGCAGAGCTCAGGAACAGTTGGGAAGTGATCTCTCTCCTGCCATCCAGTTTCCAGAGAGGACAGTCATGGAGATGAAGTGGCCCCCTCTCCAACATTACTGAAAAAGGACTGCAGAAACACATACTGTTATAATTAGTACAGCAATAAAAATAGCTCCCAAGGAGGCCTTAAATAATTCATGGTAAATCAGAGTTCATTCTATTAAATGGATTGTTTATTATTGTGCATGACACACAAAAAAGGAGTTTTTACATGATGCTTAGGTGATAACAGACCTTTTTCATATTGGAGGGAAATCGGGTGGAGTGGGGTCTCTTTGTGAACTCACAACCATTATGTCACAGTGTTTTCCACAACGGTTATTTGGTAACAGCTGTCTCGTGTTCCTTTCTGACAAAGCTGTGGTGGAGCTGAAGACCACCTTGGGGTGAACCATAACCGTTGCTTTGGCAACAGTTATTCAGCACGTGTTCGATTGTTCCACTGCTTTTCCTGGGGTATTTGCAGGTGGTGGGAGGCTGTTCTCAAAGAGGGGTCATAACCTTGCAGTCTTTTCAGATGTTGCAACAAATTGGGGACAAAAACATTTTCCTTTTTCAAACTGATTAAGTAATTCTTACTATATATCACTGAGGAGACAGCTGCAACTCATAGTTGGAATCTATTTTGAAAGTATTGGTCACAATTCAACAAAAAGCGATGCAGACTAGGCTACTTCACGATAAGAGAGCCTGGGCAGTCACTTTTGTTCACATTATATCCACATGTTCAAACCGTGGAACTTTTATGTTTCATGGTCATAACTATTGCAAATCACTTCAAGGGACATTTTCAAAAAAATTATTTATATTTTCCAGCTGTGCCTATGCATACTGCAATTTCATTTAAAAAACTTCTAACATCAATAATATGGAAACCAAAAACAAAATAGCAAACTGAGAACTGAAAAGATGCAGTAAAGCTAGAAAAAGTAAACTTATCATGATCTATTGGCACCAATAAGATGACAAGAGTAGCATTGCCACCCTAAAGATAGTAATTTCCAAATTACAGAGTTCACCTTTTATTTTTCAGTTATTTTTCACTCTTGGGCAAATGCTGGGACGAACAGTCAAATCCCCCCATCTTTAAAAGTACATTTGTAAGACTTTTTTTAAAAATGTAACAACTTTAAAATGTATGGACTTCAACTCCCAGAATTCCCCAGCCAGCATTCTGGGAATTAAAGTCCACATATCTTAAAGTTGCCAAGTTTCAAATACATTGCTCTCTACTTTAAAGACAGATTTTTTAAAAAAAATCTCCTTAGGCCCTGATGTTAGTTCCAGAATCATTTTGGGGAGATGATGCTGGTGGCTGCTCTATTTCCTTTCCTTGGTGCTTTTTTTGAGACTACTACTTCTTATGCACTCCCACGGCTACCTGCCCCTGTGCCCACTGGAAGATTTACAAGGCTGGCATCAGAAGAGCCATTAAGCATTGCTTGCAGAGGTGCAAGTCTTCTTGCACAGAGCCTTCAATTATTAAGCTTAAATTGTTTATTACTGTTATTTCTTTTCCTTTCTACGAGGAGAGCCTTGAAAAAAAAAATTTGCTTAAGGTCACATCATAGTCCTAATAATAACTATCATTATTACCATTGTATAACAATGGAATTCTCAAAATAAGTGACAAAATTAGAATTATTTAACTTTGCCACATTTAATTTGCAAAAAACCTAGTTTTGCTTGGAACCACATAGATATTAAGGCAGAATTTGGGACAATTCCCAAGCTTTAGGTTAAAGTTAGAATTGATCCTACATTACCAGCATTTTTTGAGTACTTTCCAGAAGAAATTATGTAATAACAATAATAACAACAAAGTTTCTATTCATGAATTTGTTGGATGCTATTTATTTATATTTCTTTCTTGAATGGATAGCTTGCCTTATCAATCACTCAAGGTGAATACTAGATGAAATGAAACATTATCTTTACTAAAGCATCTAATAAAGGAAGCTCTGAATGTGATATATTCAGGATACAAATGATTCCATATTAATGCTTACCATGAAACCTATGAAACTTGTAGACATAGTAGACTGTGATCCTATTTCAGAGGTAAGCTCTTTAAAAGATAGGGAACTAACTTTTGAGTCAGTCATAAATTCCTGTTACTTCCACTGAGAAAAATCATTGAAGACCCTGAAGTCCCATACTGGTAACTGTCTGGCAGGAAACCTTTTCTTTTAAAGAGAGATCTGGAGGGGCTATCAGAAGCACAAACATAATTTTTGATGGCTCAGGATATGAAATTTGGTAAGGATGGAAACAGGGTTGGATATAGTAAAACCCACCTATCTAATCATCTGTTAAGGTTAGAACTGACCTTGTTGTTACTTAGTTTAGATCCTTAGTAATTACATTTTTGCTTATGTTGAATTACAAGGAAGTAAT